GAACCCTGGCCAGCGGAATGGAGCGCTAACGGCTAACTAAACTTCATGCTTAAAAAACTAATTGGCAAATTTGCGTATGTATTAGGCTACGAAAAAAATTAAAAAACCTTTCTAAATATATCTATGCAGAGCTTACATTTTATTTTAGTTAAAATTTGGAGAACCATGGCATTATTTTCTTGTATTTAAGTCTTTCACTGTGTTGCATTTGTTATCATGTGCACCGTCAACGGAGCACATTAGTAGCTTTTTGTTATGCATATCGGAGTTAGTGAGGGTAAAGTTACGACGTCTGAATAACATATTGCTCCGCAGATACTTCAGTAATAAATTCAATTCTTCGCTTTGCACTTTTCCGTTTTGCACATTTTTTTTTACGACTTTTATTTCATTTTCCATTTATTATGCACACTTAAGTGAACTTCATGCCATTGGCCGAAGCATTTAATATCCGCGATGGGAGAGAGTACAAACGGGAAGCAAACCAAGCACACAAGCGACATAACCTCAAACAGTGCATATTTGCTCATCCCAGCAAAAAAAAAATTAAAGTAGTAAAAAGTACATTATGAAATTAATAATAGTGTTGCACAACGCATAAACATCATGTTGCATGTCATAAAGATCAGTGGGAGTGGCATGTGGCAAAAGTTAGCAAAGGAGTGGCACGCAGACGCGAACTTATAAACTCGCTCGCGGGCTGAAAAAGTCTGCCAGGTTCAATACAATAAAAGCAAAACCAGCCAATCGTCAAAGAAAAAGTGGAGAAATGCTTAGTTGTAAAGGCGTTTTACGTTTAAAAGCAGTTAAATCACTAATACTTGCATGAAAAAGGAGGTACTTGTGAACTATTTGTTAGGGTTAGGTGGCATGCCGAAAACGGCGTGTTGGCGTTACATGCACACAAGTTAATGTGCCTCATAAAAATCAACATTGTTGCACAATTGCTACATTTTCACATTTTTGTAAACGAGTTTGAAAAACAGCAATGATAAGTGTGTAAAACAACACGAAAAAATATGTGGCAAAAACGAGAGAGACATTAAAGGACAAATCGCTGATGGGTTTTCAAGAGCAATTCAAATTCTTTGTCAACGTATAATGAATCATTTCGTGCCATTTTGAAAATATTTGCTTATGTGAAGAGTTTAATTAATTTTATACCTACATTTGGCTTGGTTTTTATACCCGAGCGCACTTGTGCACAAGGGTATATTAATTTTGTTCACATAACGGTTGTTTGTAACAGCCAAAACGAATCGAGATAGATATAGACAAATGTATACATAAATGATCAGGATGAAAAGAGAAATCGATTAAGCTGTGTCTGTCTGTCCGTCCGTCTGTCCGTCTGTCCGTCCGTCCGTGTACACGATAACTCGAGAAAAAATTGAGATATCTCAACGAAATTTGGTATGTAGGCTTCCCTTAATCCAAGGTAGGTTGGTATTGAAAATGGGCGAAATCGGACTTTAACCACGCCCACTTCCCATATAACGGTAATTTCCAGAAATACGAAAACTGCGATATTTTAGTAACTA